GTGGTTGTATGCACCTGTAGCTTCAGCTATTTGGAAGACTGAGGTGAAAGGATCACCTGAGGCCAGCAGGTTGAGGCTGTGGTGGCCATGAGCATGCCACTGCACTCACTCCAGCTTGGGTGACAGAGTGAGACTCTGACTCAAAAAAAAAGCGTTTTCTCTTGAATTAATAAAATAATTGCTGTTCACTCCATTTTATTTGAATGTGACTCCGGAATGATTGAAAATATGACAATTTCATTTATAATCGCTGTAGTCACATACAATTTTCTGGATAAAAAATGAGTGATTGGAATTGAAGGAAGATTAGAAGATTTTTATATTAGAAGTCATGGAAGTTCTCATTAAGGTAATTGCCCTCTCTGAAGATGCTATATTTTAATTAATAATATATTAGTACACGGCTCAGTTTTCTTGCTCTAGTTTTTCAAAGAAATGCTTTAATGCATAAAGGGTGCTCCTTCATGTCCTGGAAATACCTCCATCTAGTGGAATTAAGACATTTTCATTCCCAAAATAAATTAAGCAGTAAATGTAATATTATAAATATAAGTAGATATATGAAAATAAATTACAGCAAAACACAAAAACTATGATGTACTTCTCTTTTATATGCAAAGAAAGAGTTGCTTATGTTTGCCACATGCTACATAACCTATGCATTTTCATTTAATGACATCACTCCTTATGCTTTTCTCTCATATGAAAAAATGGCCTGTTAGAAATATAAATATTTTAACTAAACGTATCTTCTACTCTAAAGCCAACTAAAGATTTAATATAACTACTAGAAGGAAAAATTGCTTTGTATAAATAAATATAATTCCTGATGACTTTTCCCACTTAAGATTTAAATTCTAATAATATTCTTATTTGTAGATATACTTTTTCCCTAGTTGTATACATGTTTTTGAGAGGCAATATTATGTTTGTAATTATAAATCCATATATCCGTTAACCCACGCAGGTATAGTAAATGTCTTCTTATTTTAATTGAAGGATTCAATATAGTAATGTCAGCTTTGAGAAATGTTGTTATAACATGTTAAAACCAGCAACAAATACGCAAATATAATTACACAGAATGTATGGAACCTATATAAATTTTTTTCACATTTATTTTAATTTTTTTGAGTTGGAGTCTCACTCTGTTGCCCAGGCTGGAGTGCATTGGCATGCTCATGGCCAGCGCAGCCTCCACCTGATGGGCTCAGGTGATCCTTCTGCCTCAGTCTTCCAAGTAGCTGGAACTACAGGCACACGCCACCACGCTCAGCTAATTTTTGACTTATTGTAGAGATGAGGGTTCACCAAGTTGTCCAGGCTGGTCTCGAACCCATGGACTCAGGCAATCCTCTCACCTCGGCCTCCCAAAGTGCTGGGACTATAGGCGTGAGCCACTGCGCCCAGCCTTTATTTGATTTTACATTCAAGGGGTCCCTGTTAGGTCTGCTCCATGGGTACATTGCATGATGAGGTTGGGCTTCTACTGAGCTGCCCTGCAGATGATGAGCACGGTACCCAAACGGTTTTTCAACCTTTACTACTCTCCCTGCCTCCTCAAATAAAAAAGTTGAACATTAATCTGAATAAATAGACATAACCTAGAGAGCTAAATCAAGCCAGTGAACTTAAGAAGACTGTATGGCCATCTGCCTGGGAAAAAAAGACCATCAGTAGCCCTGATAGAACTCCCTCAGGAGATCTTCTGAATCTTGCAGAAAATGACCAGGCTCACTGGGGAGAGTGGGCTAAGAAAGGGGTAATTTGGAAGGTATGGGAGGTCCCCTGGCCCCCTGGCACTCGCTGTGAGGATCAACTACCCGAAATCTAAGTGGAGTTAACATTTGTTTCCCAATAATTTTGGCTGGGGAGAGGCAGGCGGGGTCTGACACTTCCGAGCTGAGGGTTCAGTTGGCCCTCTCACCCAAGAGATCAAGAGACAAAGAGTTTAAAACGTATCAGTGAGGAAGAGCAAGACTGTCTGCTGCCTCTTGCCTTCTCCCAGTCATTGTAAGATATGCCAAGAGTGAGAGAGATTAAGAGAGCCAGGGCCCAAGAGAGCAAGAGGGAGAGAGGGAGGAGAGGAGAGATAATGGAGCAGGGAAGAGATGGAGGAGAGGGTGAGGGGAGGGAGAGAGAGACGACGGACAGGTCCAGACAGGAAGTGGACCTGGGAGCCGGTTCTCCCAGTTGTGGTAGTCTGACCATCTCAGAGGGAAGGGCGTGGTACTGCCAGTGACTAGAGGCGTGCCTGGCTGACCCCATTCCAGGTGAAGCTTGGCGAAGGTGCAGCCTGAACCACACTCCCTCTACTGGCTTCTTCCTTTCTTCCACCTGTTGTGGCTCCATTCCTGCATCCCAGTTCATTTGTCTGTGGCTCCAAGCCTCTGCCTTTTCCCAGTGTCTCCCCTGGCCTCCTTCTCCCCCTCATCCCCAACCTCCTTGGTTTGGCCTCTGGGACTCTCCTGCAGGATGCCTAGAGCCAGGGCTCCGAGACTACAGCTTGGGGACGTGAACCAGGGCCGAGAAACCATGTCTAGTATCTTCATCAGGCTGTGAGGAAGATACCTGTGGATGGCCTGCTGGCTGTCCTGCAAAGAAAGCAGGGGGAGGCAGTGTCACCTGACATGGGGGATTTATTTTTTGTCCCAATTCTGAATGTTGCCACAAATTGTTTCCTGGACTTCAGCAAATATCAGAGGATATGTAATTGCATTATGCTTAAAAATTATTTTTATTTTAAATTATAAAATGCATAGTTGTTAAAAGACAAATAAAGGAAACAACCTTGAAACTCTAGCTAGGGCCTGTGACTGGGTTTATCAGTTTGGTTTTTTTCCCAGTTGTAAACTGTTTCTTATAAAGAGAGAGAATAAAATTTGAAAACAATTTGAAAGTAAGGATAAAGTACAGTATGTCAGATTATTTACTTTTTAAAATTTAAATTTCATTTTTTATTTCAACATTTTATAAAATTTTATTTTACATTTCTGGTACTCTTATTGATATCATGCTGTCTGAGTTGGAAGTCATTCTGTATTGAATTTCCCTACTTACTTTCACTATGTGTTAATTAAATATAAAATATCAACTAATAATCTCATGTCCTTTCTCTTACTGTTTTCCATAACTAAATACATTTACAAATTTTATTTATTTATTTATTATTTATTTATTTTTGGATTGGAGTCTCACTCATGTCGCCCAGCCTGAAGTGCAGTGGCATACTCATGGCCACTGCAGCCTCAACCTACTGGGCTTAGGTGATCCTTCCACCTCAGTCTTCCAAGTAGCTGGAACTACAGATGCATGCCACCATACCCACTAGTTTTTGTGACTTATTGTATAGACAAGGTCTCACCAAGTTGCCCCGAGTAGTCTCGAACCCCAGGTTCAGTCAATGCTCTCACCTTGGCCTCCCAAAGTGCTGGGATTACAGGCTGAGCCACCATGCCCAGCCAAAATTTTATTTTTAATTGTGGGAAAATACACATAACAAAATTTGCCATCTTAGCAATCTTTAACTGTGTAGATCAGCAGCGTTAAGTACAGTCATATTGTTGTACAACCAATCTCCAGAACTCTTTCTGGCTTGCACGAAGTAATTTTTTTACTTTGAACATGTAACATTACTAAAGCAAATGCCTTTTGAGATAGGGAAGAGGATTTTCTTTCCTGACAAAATATATTTCACTACTCACCATTCTTGATCTTATAGTAAGTTATAACAAGAGAGATTATACAATCTTCAAGGGCTGGCACCTAAATCATCACTCACCCACCCGTGACTAAAGACAGCATTCGACCTCCCACCTGCAGACAAGTACATGCATGAGTGATGTCTTTTCATGAGTAAATGAATGCAGTTTACTGAGCACGCTTCTCTATCTCCCTCCTCAGGGAAAACTTTTAAGGCAGTATAATTCAGTCATACCTTTCTGCGCAAGCATCTAGATTTTAAGAAGTAGCTATTGACAAAATAATAACAACTCAAAATGCCTTACAGTAGGACAAAGTAGAAATATTTTCTATAAGACAGAACTCCTGACTCCAAATATTGATGTCGTCGGACTCTGTATGCCTTTGAGTGAAAGCACAACTTGTGTCAAAAGAAAAAGGGGCAGACAAAAGCCGCCCATGACAATGAGGAAGAACACCACAAGGCAGCAAAGAATGAAGATGCAGCATCATTCATTGAGACTCATTTTTCACCATGATGCTTTGACATATAATGTTATATTCCATATGGTACCTATGATATATAGCATGTATCATATATTATATAAATAATCCTATAAAATATACCATATAAATTATCTTGTGTGTTATTACATTGTTAAATGTAATACTATATAGAACATTTATATTATAAATATTATATGGTAATCTATAATATCATACACATTTTTTTCTTTGAGTTGGAGTCTCACTCTGCCATACAGGCTGGAGTGCAGTGGCACACTCATGGCCACTGCAGCCTCGACCACTAGGCTCAGGCGATCCTTCCACCTCAGGCTTCCAAGTAGTTGGAACTACAGGCATGCACCACCATACTCGGCTCATTTTTGATTCACTGTAGAGATGAGCTCTCACCAAGTTGCCCAGGTTGGTCTCGAATCCATGGGCTCAGGCAATCCTCTTGCCTCCACCTCCCAAAGTGCTGGCATTATAGGCATGAGCCACCGCACCCAGCAGTATTATACATGTTTTAAGAGATTATGGTGACAATGTGTCATTGCAGAAGTCAAATGTGACTTGAATTCATCTTTTGTTATAGGTATATATTGAGTATTACAATTTTAATAGTTTGTTCCCTTCTTAAAACGCATATACATTTTTTGGCACCTCCTGTATATAATATATATTTTATATATGACATATAATATCTAATGTTTCTTTTAAGTGTGTGTTTTTCAATCAGATGGGGTTATCTTACAGCACTTTAATTCTGTAAAGTGTTTATTCTTGGGAGCCAAACGTTGGAAATGAAGCATTACCTTTTGAAGCATTCTGGTCTCTGGAGGGAAGAGGCCAGGTGCCTCGCTGGTGGTGTGAAATAACTGGGATTCCCCGCAGTGGCATGGAAATTCCTGAGACTCTTCAGCACCATGGCTGCCATCCACGACCTCCAAAGCTCTGCAAAGGGTGGAAACAGTCACATCAATAGACTAGAAGGAACCCTGAAAACTCAAGAAACCCAAAGGCACATTTCTCCATGCCTATTTCCAGTCAGCCCAAACAATGAATCATACTTTAAAGCCTACACAACACTGTAGATCATTTGGTACTTTCCTAGCACATTTATAAATAAACCTTGATGACTATGCCATGTGGCTAACTGATTTCTTTTAAACTCTATGCAAAAAATAAATTAAAGATAGGCAGGTAGACAGATAATGAAACAGATAGATGGGTTTGGGCGTGAAAATAATCCAATTATTTCTGTAAAGTGACTCATGCCTGCAATTCCAACACTTTTAGAGGCTAAGGCAGGAGCATCGCTTGACCCAGGAGTTTGAGGCTGCGTGAACTGGATCCTGCTACTGTACTCCAACCTGGGCAACATAGTGAAACCCTGTCTAAAATAAAATAAAATGAAAGTTTCCTCCTGTAAACCTTAAAGAGAAAGACCTTTCCCTGGCTCCTTCAGCAGATGCATCTCTCATCTCATTGGTCAGAATAGCACCAGATAAGTAGGGCAAATTATGAACACTTTAGAGCAGGGATGTCCAACCTTCTGGCTTCCCTGGGCTGCACTGAGTAAAGAGGAACTGTCTTGGGAAATAATTTCTCTTTCCTGCAGGCCAGTGTCATGCCTGCCTATGATGAATACAATCGCTTGCTATCTTGGGTCCATGCGTGGCTTTAGCCTCAGGGGACTAGATTGAAGAGAAACCAGGGCCAAAATAAGGGAGCAACTTGAGTCTTCAAGAACACGTTGAGCAGCTGAATTAACCAATCCCAGGCCTGCCCTGTCTCTGGATCTCCGCTGTTTTAGTTAATAAATGCCCTATTCTTCAAGGCACTTGAGTCAGGTGTTCTCTGTTGTCTGCAATGAAGCATCACAACTGACCCAAGGATTGGTAAGTTTCTTAAGCTTAAGAATAAAGACACCAGACCAGGATATGGGCTTTGAATGAAGCATGCCAATGAAGTGGAAGGAGTACTAACAACTCAAAGCCTCAGTGTTTCACAGAAGCTTTTGTGGGATTTCCACAATGTGCCAAGGATAAAAAATATGAATGGGCAAAGTACTGACACTTTAGAGGGACAGGGAGATAGAAATCAATATGGCAACATCAGCAGAGGAGACATGATGGGCATAATTTGGGGAACTCTATCTTTACTTTAAAAAAACAGTACTGCCTAACTGGGTGTGGTGGTGCATGCCTGTAGTCCCAGTCACTCAAGAGCCTGAGGTGGAAGGATCACCAGAGCCCAGGAGGTTGAGGCTGTGTGAACCATGATTATGCCACTGCACTCTAGCCTGGGCAACAGAGCGAGACTCTGACTCAAAATATACAACACAACACATTATCCTCTGCATTATATAGAATGTGAAGGTATACTAGCAGCAATATATTTCTTTTGCCTTCCCTTCAGTTTTAGATTCTAAAAGTAATACTTGTACACAGTAAAAAAGAATTCAATCAGTATAGAAGGGGATTGAAATAAAGTATCTCTCCAGCTGCACCACAATTTCATTCTGCCTAAGTAAAAACCCTAAATGATTGACCTCTTGCAACACTTGATGCCATATCTAAGTACTTATAAAAATACATTTCTAGTCCCTGTATGAGCGCTGAAGCTTACCTTTGAGGCAAATCTCTTCTCAGGAATTTAAAGAAGCTATATAGGGGACCCCCAAAATAAAAGATGATCTTTTGGAGGGTGGGCCCCTGGTAGTACAGGCTTTGCCTGCTAGGTAAGTGTTCTAGGAACCCATCAGCAACAGTGTATCAGCTAGTACCAGCTAGTGTTGTTGTGAGAGGTTGTGCTTGGCTTCAGTGGTTTTTTGGCTGTTTCTTTGTTTGTTTTTTTTTTGAGATTCTTTCAATGCATTTGCCCACACCGTGCTGAGTGTTCAGCAGTTTTTGACCAAACTGTTCTCCATCCTATTCACCCAATCCTACCCCGAGTTACTTTTTTGTTTGTTTCCCTGGATGAAAACAACAACAACAAAACGCCTCAAGGGGAAATATTTGGCTGATGTGGAAGAGGTGAAACAAAAAACGGCAGAAGCACTAAAAGACATCCAAATGGATGAGTTCAAAGACCATTTTGAGCCATGGAAAAAGCATCTAGATAGGTGTAGTGCATCAAACGGAGAGTCCTTTGAAAGTGACTGAAGTTTCAACATGTAAGAATAAATATACAATTTTGGCTGGGCACGGTGGCTCATGAATGTCATCCCAGCACTTTGGGAGGTGGAAGCAAGAAGATTACATGAGTTCAAGGGTTCAAGACCAGCCTAGGCAACACGGCAACACCTCATCTCTACAATAAATTTTTAAAAATTAGCCGGGGGTAGTGGAACCCACCTGTGGTTCTAGCTATTTGGAAGGCTGAGGTGGAAGGTTTGCCTGAGCCCAGCAGGTTGAGGCTGCAGTGGCCATGAGCATGCCACTGCACTCCAGCCTGGGTGACAGAGTGAGATTCCAACTCAAAAAAAAGAAAAAATACTTGATTTTTTATAAATAAATTCCAGGTTTCTGGGATCCTCCCTCGTATGAAGGGATAGAGAAGCACGAGTAGCTCAGGAGAATGTAGCTAACAACTGAAAAGTACCTTAAAGTTGAGAAGCCAAGCTTGGTGGCTCAACCTGTAATCCCAGCACTTTGGGAGGCCGAGGTGAGTGGACTGCCTGAGCCTGTGGGTTGGAGACCAGCCTGGGCAACTTGGCAAGTCATCAGCCCTTGTTAATATTTCTCCTCTTTGGAAAAAAACATATGTGCCCATAGAACGAGACAGTGGAGATGAAAGAGATCTCCATGTGCTTCCCACGCTTCATATTCTTGGAGGTGAACACCCAAAAAGGAGCTCTTTCTTCCTGCCAAATCCTTAAGCATGAATGATTAAAAGCTGGCCAGGGGGCCAGGCGCAGTGGCTCATGCCTGTAATCCAAGCACTTAGGGAAGCCGAGGCGGGAGGATTGTTTTAGTACAGGAGTTTGAGACCAGCCTGGGCAACATGGTGAGACCTTGTTTCTATCAACAATCAAAAAACTAGCCAAGCATGGTGGCAATCACCTATATAGTTCCAGTGACTCAGGAGGTTGGGGCAGAAGGATCATCTGAGCCCAGGAGGTGGAGGCTGTGGTTAGCTGTGATCATGCCACTGCACTCTAGCCTGGGTGACAGAGTGAGACTCTGACTCCAAAAAAAAAAAAGCTGGCAAGCGTGCCCTTTTCTATGTATTTTGTTTGTGAGTTTGTGATACAATCCCTGCTTGTGACATAACATCCTCTTGCCTGTAAGTCACAGAAAGTCCAACTCACAGAAGCCTGATGAAAAAGCAAAATGAATGATCACATATAAAATGCGAGGGGTCGATGGAGTGGGTTTAATCCATTTGTTCTGTTGCTACTAAATGTCAATGGTTTCTGCAGTTCTCGTTGTCACATAAAGGCACAGTCATTCCATGGGATTAGAAGACCCTCGTTCTCTGCAGAACTTGGCAGAGAAGGAAATCTTGAAACCTTGAAGATGGCTGTTCACAACTAAACTAATTTCTGGACCTACCCATCTGAGGCTGGGACTTGAGGGACACCACTGTGCAGAGAACAAGCACCTGAGAAAACTGGGGTTCTGTTAGGAATCAAGGAGCAGGGGAGGGTGGGAGCAGGTGCTGACATGTGTTCTGCCTCCTCCCTAACTTCATCTTGAAACATGTTCCCTCTCTCACTACACCATTGGGAGAGGTGGAGTTAACATGTACTTAGGGTGAGACCTGAACTAGCAAATTAGAAACTTTCATGATCTTGGCTTCATAGCTTTTTTTTTTGTCGGAGTCTCATTCTGTCACCGAGGCTGGAGTACAAGTGGTACGCTCATGGCCATCGCAGCCTCAGCCTTCTGGATTCAGGTGATCCTTCCACCTCAGCCTCCAAAGTAGCTGTGGCTACAGGTGTGCACCACCACACCCAGTTAATTTTTTTTTAGGTCTTGCTGTGTTGCCCAGGCTGGTCTCGAACTCCTGGGCTCAAGCAATCCTCCTGCCTTGGCCTCCCAAAGTGCTGAGTTTACAGGTGCAAGCCACCGTGCCAGGTATTTCATAGCGTGTTGCGCCTTGAGGGCCTGCTTGCCCTCCTGACTTGAAGGATAAACTAACTCAACTCAGCATGCTATCCAAAGGTCAATTCACCATGCTTGGGGTCATGACCTCCCAGACGGGAGGACACCCTTGACCGTGGAGGTTGGTTTAGTTTAGCGATGACCAGAGGAGGTGAGGACCGTCACAGATAGTTCCAGGGAAGGTCGTTGCTTCCCCATAATTCTGAACCAGGAAATGTGGAGTGTTTGTGCTCCACCCAATGTTTGTGCCTTCCTCTGAAGGGAAGAGGAAGAGGAGGTGTTGGCTGGTGTCCTTTGCCTTGTGACCGGGATCCAGGAGTGTGGCTGTGCACCTGGCCACAGATGCCAATATTTTGCCGTTTGCTCCAGGACTTGGCCGGGGAGGGGGGGTGAGGCCAAGGCCATGGGAGGCATGGGCTGAGAGGGCGTCCCAGGTTGAACCCAGCGTCAGGAAAGCTTCTCACCCAGACCAGGATCTCTAAGGTCAGTCACAGACCTCCCACGCAGAGCAAACGTACTACACGACTGTGTCTCCTGGAACACAGGCCTTGCAACCTACAAGGTCCAACAATGAGGCTCTTGAACCATCCTAGAAAAAGCTTTTCATGCCTCATTGCTGAGTCGCATCACAGTTCCCTTCAAGTACTTCCCTTGGGAAGCTATGCGCCGCCACCAGCGGCTGGTCTACCCATCAAAGCAACTTTGGAACTCTTTTTCGGGAATGGCCATCAGAGCTGTCTTCATTATTTGCTGAGGTCGGAAAATTAAGTTCATGAACTTACCACCATGTGTTTATGTTGGCAGCACTATACTAATCACTGTATTGGAACACCGTCCTACTCACCTGTTCTGGCCCTCAGTGACCTTTTTCTTTACCCGAAGATAAAGAAAATATTGAAAGGAAGACATTTGATGACATTCAGGACATCAAGGGTAATACGACAACGGCTCTGATGACCATTCCAGGAAGAGTTCCAAAATTGCTTTGATGGGTGAACTAGGTGCTGGCGTCAGCGCGTAGCTTCTCAAAGGGAATGCTTCGAAGGTCACCGTAATGATATTCAGCAATGAGGTATGTAGCACTTTTTCTAGGATGAGTTCACGAACTTAATTGTCAGACTTCGTATTACACAGAAATGACAGACCTGGAGTCAGGCTGAAAGGTCTGTAAGTCCTAAGTGAGCTTGGCAACATTATCCAGCATCTGTTCTTTCAGTATCTGTTAGATCTTCCACCATATGGGAGCTTGTAATTTTAGCACTTTGGGAGGCTGACGTGAGAAGATTGATTACTTGAGACCAGAGTCTGAAACCAGCCTGGGTAACATAGTGAGACCTCGTCTCTACAAAAAAATCTAAAAATTTGACAGACGTGGTGGCACGCGTCTGTAGTCTCAGCTACCCAGGAGGCTGAGGTGGAAGGACTGTCTGAGCCCAGTTGTTCAAGGCTGCATTGAGCTATGATCATACCACTGCATTCCAGCCTGGACAACAGAGTTCTATTAATTATATATCAAAGCACACAAAGGTGAACAAACCCACTCCCTGCCCTCAAGGATGTTAAGGTCTAGGAGACAAAGTCTCATCCAACGGGCAGCAGTATTTTAAATTCTGAATAATGGTTACATATGGAGCAAGACATAGGTAAGTCTCCCTAGCTTAAAGTCAACCTTAATCCATGTTAGCAACAAGAAATGCCAATTGGAAAGTTTGTTAATTTTTTTTCCCTAAAGGGTAAATTTTAGTTTCTTTTAGGCTACAGGTAGAGTAGGCTAAGCTTGGCTCCCTGGTGAGACATTTAACATTTGTAAACGGAAGCACAGTTTCCTTGTTGAATAGTTACTACTGGTCACTTATTAAGAACAACAAACTCTTGAGAAAATAAATAAAATAAAATCCCCCAAAGCTGCCTTATTGGTCTGGAGTCTTAGCAGGGGATAATGTATTCATTTGCCAGTTATAATCCTCTGAACTTCCTTTTCAACACATGTTATGTGGCCAGAGTGAAAGAGTTTCAGTGTTAAATACTGTACCTGATTTTACTCAGACTTCTAGATGCATGGGGCACTTGTAGTTCATTCAACTATTCCTTTATGATTCCTTTTTGTTTGGCTTACTTTTAAAAACCAGACTGCCCTTCTCCCTGGAGGCTAAGTTGGGAGCAGAATTATTGGCAAGATTGTGTTCCCTCTCCTAAGTTCAAAGAGCCACATGGCTATGCTCAGACAAATCCAAGCTTTGTGAGGCCTGAAGTCTATATAGTTCGGGGGGGGACCTCTAAAAAAGAAAACAAAATATCTCACTTTTTCACAATGTACATTGCTGGGGCCCCTCTGAACGCTTTGGAAGTGACCTTGAAGCTTAAGCTTCCTTTGCTTCCTGTAAATCAGCTCCAGGTTTATTTAATGTTGGTCAATCCCAACTAGCTGTTCCGCAAGGATTTTAATATGTTTAAAGCCCGTTAAATAAGGTCCTATATCTAATAATTCTTGCTTTAGGAATAACGTGCATATAAAATAATAAAATGTGGCCTGGAGATAAAGGTTTAGGTTTAACTGACAGGTGGAAGTTGGTGCTGTGCTGCCATCTATTGGCTGACCAAAGAATGATGCATGTGTCCCCTGAGCCTCGGAGCTGGGATTTCAGTTACCAAAAGGCACCTCCATCTGCATTGAGTTATTCCCTCATGAGAGCCTGGAACGCCAGGTGTTAGCACCACTCTTCTGAATTACGGCATTGATTGTAAGGCTGCGTTAAGTTTCCTGGCCACAAAGGAAGAAAACTTGACTCACTAACCAATAGCACCAACAGCACGCGCAGTGTTTCTCTTCCGTGACTCTAAGTGACCCCGCCAGTGTTAGACTTCTGTATGAGACCACGGACACAGACCCGCTGATGACTTGAGACCTGACAAGGCCCCTTTGTGATGATCTGGTGCAGTCACCTCATTGCAGACTCGCGGAGACACTGTCCCTGAAAAACCACACGACTGACAGAGGAGAGGGTTGGGCTGCTGGTGACCCATGGACGTGGGACTGAAAGCCCAGCTTCTGTGCCTAGGCTCACAGAGTGGCATCTCATGACAAGGTGAGGATACACCCATGTAAGTCTGTCTCACCTCCAGAAAACAAAACCAAACCTCAAATCTATTTCCCTTGGAAAACCGAGGGTCTGGGATTTACAGAATGATTTTTTCTTTCAGGAGCAATGTTGTCTTCAAATTTATATTTTTTTCTCAGCTGAATAAAGGATAAAATACAGCAACGTCCATACATGGATTTCAAAGTTACATCCGCTCTAAGCTTCAGTGTCCTCATCCGCAAAATGCATAGAAAAATCAAATTGTCATGAGAATTAAATTCGGTAAAACTCATGAAATGCTTGCCCTGATACCGGCACATGGTAGGTGCTTGATACATATCAGCTACTTTAATTGCATGTGTGAATGCCAGCTGACATTTCTTATGTGGATGGTACTTGGAGGCAGGGTATTTATCAGACTCAAATACGAAACGATAACAGAGTGAGAAGTTATGAATTGGAAGATACCTTAGAGATCATCTAGTGACTAACCAGCCCATTTCGCAGATGAGTTCACTGAGGCCCAGAGATATTAATTATTCAAGGTCGCGTGGTCAATGACAGAAAGAGTTAGGAGCAGAGAACCACGCCAACTCCTAGTTCAGAGACTAATTGCACACTCTCAGCAGACGAGTTTGAAGATCACAAACATCTCCAACCGGATGGAAAATAAAGGCAATTTTCTATGCTCATTCAAGTTTTTAAAGCACAAAACATGCTTACAGTTTTGCTGTATGAAGAATAAATACTACCTCACTACAAGTATTTAGTGACAGCAAATGGTAATCGAATGCAGAAACTCTGCCATCTAGTGGTTGCACAAGAATATCACTCTACTCAAAAAAGTAACAAACCGACTCAGCCTCTACTGCCTGAAGGCCTCCATCTCCTGGGCACCTTGATGTTTTAAATGGCAGCGGCCTGAAGGCTGGGAGCCAGCTCCCAATGTGCTGTGTGGTACAGAAATGTCTGAGTTCCCCCTTCCCCCTCACATCTGACCAGTGGAACACAAATCATCTCTCCAACAACCGCTGGACACCTTTGCCCTCATACTTACATTTTGTGAAATCTAGACTTTGGAGGCTACAGCGTTTGTGAACATTAAGTAAGTTGTCTCAGGGCCCAGAATATGCTCATTTTTGGCCGGGCACGGTGACCCATGCCTGTAATCCCAGCACTTTGGGAGGCCGAGGCGGGAGGATTGCTTCAGCCCAGGAGTTCGAGACCAGCTTGGGCAACATAGTGAGACCCTGTCTCTATGAAAAAGAAAAAAGTAGCTGGGTGTGGTGGCGTGCATCTATAGTCCCAACTACTCAGGAGGCTGAAGTGGAAGGATTGTCTGAACCCAGGAGGTGGAGGCTGTGGTGAGCACTACAGCCTGGGCACCAGAGTGAGACCCTGACTTTAAAAAAAAAAAAAAAAAGTTCAGTCATGTGGGATCACTCCACATGATTAAACACTATAACCCCCTCCCCCTTGTTGAAGCCGGCTCAACAAGGTTTGGTTTTACTAGCATTGGTCCCAAGAGGAAAGAATGATCTCATTCTGGGCAGGAACAAAGAGTAGCAGAGGCTAAGGACCAAATACCCCAGGAATTGCTGCCCAAATCCCCAGGAGGTTTGAGGAGCCCAGATCTGTGCCTCGGGGAAGGGCTCAGGTTTATCAAGAGTCTTGCATTTCGTGCATGATGGCACACGCTCTCATTTGGAGCAGCTGAAGAGTGGAGCATTTTTTTCAGCTTCTTGTAACATTCAAGTCGGACAAGTTTCGTTTTCAGTTGTCAAAATACAAACGAAGGGTTTTTCGAGTGCTGGAATTTTCCTTTTAAGGCGATACAAATTCCCATACTCTAATGGTGGAGGGAGAAAAATTGTCACTTTTCTTTCAATGGCAATATAGTCCTCAAAGATAGACGAACGGCCGGGTGCAGTGGCTCACACCTGGAATCCCAGCACTTCGGGAGACTCAGGCGGGAGCATTGCTTGAGCCCAGGAGTTGGAGACCAGCCTACTCAATATAGTGAGACCTCAACTCTACAAAAAAATCCAAAAATTAGCTGGGCACGGTGGCACGGGCCTGTAGTTCCAGCTACTCGGGAGGCTGAGGCAGGGGTATCGCCTGAACCTAGGAGGTCAAGGCTGTAGTAAGCCATGATCATGCCACTGCACAGTAGCCTGGATGACAGAGTGAGACCCCTAACTTAAAAAGAAAGAAAGGAAGGAAAGAGAGAGAAAGAGAAGAGGACGAAAAAGAGGAGGAAAGAAAGAATGAGGGAGGGAGGGAAAAACTACTAACCTTACTAAGCTGACAAATAGTAAAAATGAATAATGCAAGAGAGTGCACAAGGGTGGACAGATCATGCCGGAGTCACCAGGGGTGACTCTGAGGAGTCATTTCTGAGCCCTCCTGCTCCAATCAAGCCACCTCTGAACACGCGTCAAGAGAGGCCCTCTGTCCTCACGCCTGAGCTTGCTTTGCGTGAGACAAGATGCAGCCACACACAACTCTCGGTAGACAGGTGGCAGGGAAGCCAGGAAGGGCTTGGCTACTGTCTACCTTCCCATCCTCTCTATGGGGACTGGGGGAGGAACGTCTCTCATTCTTAATAGCCAGAAAAAAGCTTTTCTTTTTCCTCCCTGTTGTCTCTTAGACAATGTGAACCAGGTACCTGAGTATGAATCAATTTTAGTAATGATCAGAACTTTAGGAATGTCTGATTCCGAAAAGAAATGGTGGGCGGGGAGTGGTGGCTCAAGTCTGTAATCCCAGCACTTTGGGAGGCTGAGGCGAGAGGACTGCCTGAGTCCAGGGGTCAAGACCAGCCCAGGCAACTTGGTGAGACCTTGTCTCTACAATGAATCAAAAAATTAGTGGCCCGCGCCTGTAGTTTCAGATACTTGGAAGGCTGAGGCAAAAGGATCGCCTGAGCCCAGCAGATGGAGGTTGTAGTGGTGGTGAGTGTGCCACTGCACTCCAGCCTGGAGGACAGAGTGAGACTCCAACTCAAAAAAACAAGAGAGAGGGATTAACCAGAACAGAATTGGTAGTGGCACGATCACATCTCACTGTAGCCTCAACCTCCTGGGTTCAAGCAATCCTACCACCTCAGCCTCCTGAGTAACTGGAACAGGCTCACACCACCATACCCAGCTACTTTCTTGATTGTTTTGTAGAGACGAGGTCTCACCATGTTGCCTAGACTGGTCTTGAACTCCTGGGTTCTATCAATCCTCCAGTCTCTGCCTCCCAAAGTGCTGGGATTACAGGCATGAATCACTGCGGTCAGCCTAGCTTTGCCTCCTATAAAGGTTGGCTTGTGCTGTTCCTGACACACAAAACCGTCTACGAGGCAGGGAGGGAAGCAGGTTGCAACCCTTAGTTATGTCACGGGGCACCAGTGAGGGGTGGTGGCCCCTATGGAGAGCAGGCAAGCCTTTTTAGCCTTTAACACATTAGATTTTGACAGTTTTTTCTGTTGTCCCCAGAAGCCCCCTGCTGGTGCTCTTGGCACTTAAGCTCTCGTAGACACCTTCACATGGTTTTTATTTCAGCCTGTATTCTGTGCTATTGTGCATAGTATTTTATAGCATGCTGACTTGTACGGCATTGAACTGAGAACTGGGAAGTCTCACTGATGGTGGACATTAAGGTTAAATACCAAGTCAGAGAGAGAGGAATCGCCTCTCATTGAGCTTGGCATATCTATTTTTATTCAGGATTTTACAAACACAGCTAATAGTTAATGAGCCCTAACTATGACCCAGGCAGGAGGCCATTATAAAATGAGTTTAAAGTTAAGAAAACAGTCTTAGGCAAAGTACCCTTGTTAAGATGACACAAGAAGGTGAGATGTCAAGGTGCCTCAGTCACTGACAAGCTAGCACTGCTGCTACACGGCCTGCCAATGGAATGCTGTCCAAGGACACGGGAAATAACGAGCTGTAATCTTCTGGCTATAAGGAAAGAGACATCCGCTGGTACATGCTTAAATTCTTGGGACATGACATTAACTTAACCAGAAAGATGTGGCTTTATATCCAGGTTCTGCTAATTTCTTTTTTTTATTATGTTTTTATTTTTATATATTTTTTTGAGTTGGAGTCTCACTCTGTTACCCAGGCTGGAGTGCAGTGGCATACTCAAAACGGCCACCATAGCCTTGACCTGCTAAGCTCTGGCGATCCTTGCACCTCAGCCTTCCAAGAAGCTGGAACTACAGCCGTGTGCCATCATGCCAGGTTGATTTTTCTTGATTTATTGTAGAAATGAGGCCTTGTCAAGCTGCCTGGGCTGGTCTCAAACTCATGAGCTCAGGCAATTCTCTCACCTTGGCCTCTCAAAGTGCTTGGATTATAGGCGTGAGCCACCTGGTTCAACTAATTTCTTTTTTTTTTTTTTGAGTTGGAGTCTCACTCTGTCCCCCAGACTGGAGTGCAGTGGCCGCTCCTAGCCACCGCAGCCTCGACCTGCTGGGCTCTAGCAATCCTTCCACCTCAGCCTTCCAAGTAGCTGGAACTACAGGCACACGCTACCACGCCCAGCTAATTTTTGATTTATTGTAGAGATGAGGGCTCGCCGAGTTGCCCAGGTGGGTCTCGAATCCACGGGCTCAGGCAATTCACTCACCTCAGCCTCCCAAAGCATGGGATTGCAGGCAGAGCCACCGAGCCCGGCTTCTGCTAATTTCTGATAGTGGGTTTAAACTCATTGGCAAAATGGAGATAATGCTTATTTTGCAAGAAACTGTTGAAGATGAAATTATATGTGTGTATGCACCAAAGTTAACTTTCATGGCTTTCCCTACTTTATATGACTTTATACCTTAGCCTTTGATGTTGACATGTGTTGATGCCATTTTCCCTTGTTTTTCTCCCTCAACCAAAAAAAAATTATTAGTATTTTTTTTTTTAGTCGGAGTCTCACTCTGTCACAACCAGGTTGGAG